AAATTGACAGGGGGATTATTTTTGTATATTCTATGTCATGATAATGAATTGGGGAATTACCAGGTTCTAACTGAGATCAATATTAAATCCACAACTCTTTATTTATGCTTATACTTTCTATTGGAAATAATCCAATAGATCTCAGAGATAGCTATAGTATCCCGTCTGCTTACTTTTTGCACTGCATCCAGAATAGCATTGTTTGAGTTAACATATTTATATTACTGCTTGCAATATATCCTATGTGAAGGAATTTTCTCTCAGTTGGAATATGAAAGTATTTTATCAATTACTGAATTTATTTCAAGGTTTATCATAGTAGGATTTACTGCAAAATTCATTCCACAATATATAGGTGGAAGTCTATAGGGAGGGGGAGTAAATTCTCACCTCAGTTCTGCTTTTTGATGCCTAAAATATAATTAAGTAAAATAAAATAAAAAGATTCCACAGTTACTCTGCATAAAAATAAAAAGGCTAAAGTACTTCTCCATCATAGTACAGCAAGGGAAGTCCAGAAGCATCTTAAGAAATATGTCATGAATCATATGAAGTGATCCTTTATAGATTACTTTTAAATCACTGGGAAATACTCATTGGGAAACACAATAAGCTCCCATAGTGCCTTCCCTAACATAATTGCCGTGTTTGTTTGAAACCTATGCCCAACTCAATTCTCCTCCTCCTCTTCCTCCTCCTCCTCCTCCTCCTCTGAATTTTAATATTCTCCAGGGCCAAAGTCAGCATTTTCTTTGTTATGTTTGATATTTTTGAAGACTTAAGCATTGGAAAGGGAGAAAGAGATTTGTTCCAGAGCCTTCTCACCATGTTGTTGTTGCCATGAACTGAAGAAATTCCAGGAGTCTAGAATCAAGATATATGTAGAATGCCAGGCAGAAAAAAATGTAAACTATTTCTGAAAACATGCACAGCAATTGAATATTCATTTATCTACTTCAGAATCAATTCCAGATTTCAATCTCTATTTGGTGAACCAACATATGTGTTAAAGAAGTATTCAAGTTATTTTTCCTGGAAGATTTTTTTTTTCTCCACAACAATTTTGTTAGAGTCTCTTTAATGTATTTCTAAGGGAATATATAATGGATTAAGCTCTGGTGTTATCACAGAGTAAATTAAGGCAATATTATTGTATTCTTCTTCATTCAAAGAGGATGGTTTAGCATAAGTGTACATAAATGTAGACATATAAAATAACTAGTAGATGGGAGGAACAAACTCCCCATTCTCATTTTTCCCTTTTCCCTTTTCTCTTTTTTCCTTTCCCCTTCCTCTCTTCCTCTTCCCCCTCCCCATTCTCATTCCGTTCTTCTTTTCCCTTTACCTTTTTCCTTTACTCTTCCTCTCATCCTCCTCTTTCCTTTTCTCCATTCTCATTCTCATTCCTTTTCCCTTTCCCCTTCCCCCCCCCCCGCGTTTTAATACTTCTCAGTCTCCAGGACCAAAATCAGCATTCCCACACTCAGTTGATACTTTATTATGTCTACTTCTATATATACATACACAGTATTATTTTAGCTCTGTTTCACAGAGACTATATAACAGGATTAAGAACTGGAGTGATCACAGAATAAATAATAGCAATCACCTTGTCTTCCTCTAAAGCAAGGGTGTCAAACTCGCAACATCACATGATGTGTCGCAATGTATCATGTCTTTTTTCCATTGCCAGCAATGGGGTGGGCGTGGTTTCATCATGATGTATCCGGCCCACGGGCTGGCAGTTTGATACCCCTGCTCTAAAGAATAGAGTGAAGCAGGACAGAGGAATCTATAGATAATGATGGAATAGTAAAATAGTAAAATATGAGATGGGAAGAGCCTTCTTCTTTTCTGCTGGTCATTTGCATTCTTTTAGAGAGTCATTGAGGTCATCTAGAGCAGGGCTTTTCAACCAGTGGTACGTGTACTACTTGTGGTACTTTGCCACATGGCAGGTGGTACGCGATTGCTAGCCAAGTATAGCAGGGGAGGGGAATGAGCCAAAGCGAGCCAAGCCTGAGGTAGAGGCACCTGCAGCTGCAGGAATGTCTGAGCTTGGCAGAAGCCCCAGGAGCGGGCAGGGCTCCAGCTGATTGGCTCCAGCTGATTGGTGCTTTCAGAAGCAGCTTGGAGCTGGAGGTGAACTGAAGAAAAAGGGGGGAGAGAGGAGAGGCTATAAAAGAATGTGGTTTGGGTGGGGGAAGGGGAAAAAAGACAACAGGAAAGGTTTAATCCCTTCAAACAAATGTAATTAGTTTTACCCCCTTTAATTGAGTCTGTCTGTGGCTTTTAGAACGTTTTCTTTGAAGGTAAACAGGCTTAATTTAAAGCTAAAGCTTTTTGCAATTGCCAGAGCTTTTCAGTCTTGAATTGCAACATTGTGACACATGACATTCCTGAGGCAGCTTAAAAAGAAGAAAAAAATGGAGTTTGTGTTTCTTTATTTTCTTGCTTTGCACTTGATTCCTGTGTCTTTAAGGGTACAAGGAAGGGATTGGGGGCTGCATTCTTACTACACTATGGAAGAGATCAGAAGGGCAAACCAGCTAGCTCAGGAGTCTACAAACTTAGCAACTTTAAGACCTGTGGACTTCAACTACCAGAATTCCTCAACCAGCCATGAGGGCTGAGGAATTCTGGTAGTTGAAGTCCACAAGTCTTAAAAATGCCAAGTTTGAAGACCCCTGAACTAGCTGGTAGTGGTACATATTAATAAACATGGATAAATTCATCATACATTTGTCAGTGCAAAGGGAAAGTGATTCAGCAAAGGAACAGCCACCGAAGAAATTAAAACTGGTACTTTTTTACTTTTTTTCTACAGTTTGTAGCATTTTATTAGCTTATAGAATAAAATACAAAAATACAAAAGCAAATAGTAGGACACAGTGGGGAGGAATAAGGGGGGGGAAGTGAGGGGGAGAAGGGAAAAAGAACATACTTCCTCTGTTGATGGTAGAATGAAGCATTAACATTGAACCTCAACTTTTTATTTTTCCATAATATTATAAACTAGCCATTTCTAGAACAGCAAATGAATCTAATCAGTAAAAGCCAAAATTCCTCCCCTTTTTTTAGTCATCAAGTTTTTGACACCTTGCTAAGCACTGGTGGTACTCAAATATTGTCATGTCCTAAAATTGGTACAATCTGTGAAAAGGTTGAAAAGCTCTGATCTAGAGGGTCACCTCCTGTCTTTCAAAGACAGCAAAGCCCACATTTTGGACAGAGAGGATCGTTGGTTTGAAAGAGGAGTCAAAAAGGCCGTCTATGTCAAAATTGAATAGCCCTCTCTCAACAGAGGGGGAAAGATACAACATCATCTATCTCCAGTCTACAACACAGTCCTTTCAGCAGTTCCAAGAAGACTCCACATCCATTTGCACTACTCAGGTGACCCTGACAACATAGATAAACTCCAGGTGGCCTCAACAACTCTCTAAAAGAATGCAAATGACCAGTTGTCTACAAAGAGTATAAATCCTTCCGTTCCCTACCATCCATTTAGAGCTGAAGTAGCTTCTTGGATGAGAAGCAAAATGTCTTAAAAACACAGACACAAGAAAGTCTAGCTGCCTTAATATTTATGAGGTTGAAAAACATTTGCTTAGCGTTCCTATCTCCAAACTTGTCTGCTTTCCTCAAATGGCTGCCTATGCCCCTCGATAACTAGGCATCTGGAATCCACACAGTGCAACACAGTATGACCTTCATTGCATGAGAAAACTGTCTCTTCATATTTTCAGGAAAAGACAGACAGCTGGCTCCCAAGTTTTTAATCAAGCAAGAAGCTTCTAGGTACCTATCTGATATTTCACACAAAGTGAGCAACTAGTCAAAAACCCTAACCTTGAGACTAATTACAACCCCTCAAGGCAATTCATCCTGCCATAAGCTATATCTTTAATTTCTGAGAAACTGGAAATATTTCAAACTAGAATTTTCTTGAAGTTTGCTACAGACATGTACACATACACACAGAAAATAAGTCAGTGGTAACATTATATGGCAAACATCTGTCCACCTTTGGGGCTGAGAAACACAAATTATTAGTGATATTGAACAAATAATTTAAATATATAAAAAACATGAAATGGTTTACAATTCATAAGTTCATATCATATAGTACCCACTATCCCATACAACAACTATTTATAAGTAAATCACTTATTTTTAAATGTTGCACTGCACTGTTTCTCAATATGAAACATAAATTACTTCCTTTTAGCTCTAAGGCTGCAATATGAAAATTTAGTTACCCTCGTATCCAAATGAAAAAAAAATAGCTGTATGTGTTTAACAAGCTATAGCCTAAATAAAAATAAGTGTTTATATAATCTTATAAAAACACTAATTATACATACTGCATATACAGAAATAATTAAAAACAATAATTAAGAACTAAATGAGACATTGTAAAATTATAACTTAAATTCAATCAATTGCAAGAAAAGTAGTATTTCTCTTTGTCATACATGTCTACCAAATAACAAGCATAGTAGAATATTGACTGCCATTGTATATTTCATCCATTTCTACTATAGCAACATTTCATTTTGTAAATTATATCTAATGAATAGGAATACACTATTAATCAAGAGAAATTATTCAAGTTCTCTTCAAACATTGCTCCACTCTAAATCACTTCTGTTTCAGCTGGATTTTAAAAATTCTCAAGGATCCAAAGTGTATGAATGCATATTAATGTAGTCTAAGTTGTTCTTGTAAACAAAAGCCTAATTATTGCTCTGGGGCTGATTTAATATCCTGTAATAAAAAGCATTTACAGAAACAATTTACATCTTTCCTAAATATAAACACAAACATACAAATAAAATATTCACTATTTTATTATTATGCAATGTAGATTTGTTTTGTTTAATTTCTCCAACCTGGGATAATCATATTTGGAGAGGTGAGAAAGACAGGCAGAATATAAATTCCTTTCAGGTTTAGCCTATTTTTTGCCACTCACATGAACACTTGAAAATAATTCATTAAAACAGATCTTGCTGGAAGAATTTTCTGGCAAATAATTTTCTGAGAGCTTGCTTAACATCAGAGTTTCGCAGAGAGTATATAAGAGGATTGAGGACTGGAGTGACCACAGAATAAATAATACCAATCACCTTGTCTTCCTCTAAAGAGTACATTGAAGCAGGACGGAGGAATGTATAGATAATGGTGGAATAGTAAAAGCTGACAACCAAGAGATGGGAAGAGCATGTGGAGAAGGCCTTCTTCTTTCCTTCTGTGGAACGGATTCTGAAGATGCTCCTCAGTATAAACCAATAAGATAAGAAGGTCAGGGTACAGCTGCCTATGGCAATGACAATGGAAGCTGCAAAAACCATGATTTCATTCAGGCTTGTGTCTGAACAAGAGATCTTGAACATTGGTGGCAGCTCACAAAAGAAGTGATTGATGATGTTGGAATCACAGAAGAAAAGCTGTAGTACAAGTCCTGTATGAACTGAGGAATTTATTATACCTATCAGCCAAAGTCCAACCATTGTCCCAAAGCAAACCTCTTTCCTCATGATTACTGTATATTGCAGAGGTTGGCAGATAGCAGCATAGCGATCAAAAGCCATAAATGCAAGAAGCAGGAGCTCTGTTCCTAAAGTCAAAGTGAAGAGAAATACCTGTGCAATACAGCCAGAAAACACAATAGTCTTTCTCTGGGTTATAAGAATTTGCAATAATTTGGGAACTATTATAGAAATTGAACATACATTTATAATAGACAAATTGATTAACAAAAAGTACATGGGTGTGTGAAGTTTCTTGCAGACACTCATGGCTAGGATGATTAGGAAATTTCCTACCATAGCCAATCCATAAATGATGAAGAAAGTCCAAAAGATGAGCATTTCATTTTCAAGGGAACTCGAAAAACCTATCAAGATGAATTCTTTAACAGTGGAAGTGTTCTTCATTTTTAAGATTGATTTGCAGAGAAATGAAACAGCACATCACTTTCTTGGCATTTTGCAATCCTGTTTCTTGGCATTTTGCAATCCATTAATAGATATCTCCATTAAGAAAACATTTGAAAAGTCCTAGATTTCCCACAGTTGATGATTAAACCTCTGGGATGGAGAAAAATTTGGGCTAAATATTGTAGTTAATATTTTAATGATAATAATATAAAATCATTTTAATGCTTAGTCTTGAGTAGAGCTGCTGGATGATTTAGGGTCACCCAAACTGGAACTAAACAAATAAATAAATTATATTATTTTTTCCCAAATACTCTTCTACAACAACAGTGATCACCCCCCCATTTTTGGAAATGAAGTCCAATCTTTTCCATCATGGCTTTTATATGGCCAACTTGATGGTTGTAGCAAAATAATGATGTTGAATCATATTTCCCCTTGAATAGGAATCAATTAACTAAAGACTGTAATAAATCATCTAAGAGATACCTAAGTGGTTTAGGTAGAAGCCAGTCACAACAACAGCTGCAAAACAAGGACAAGGGCTTCTGTCTCTCCTTGCTTATCAGCCTTAAACAGGAATAAGCAAGTCAGACATGCCAACTGATCTTCTTGGCACATCACATCTAATATATTAATGTGTGCCATAGCATAAAGGACTTCCTATGTATTTAGGAACTTTAAGGCTGAATGGTCCTATGATAAACGATTCTAGTCATGGTTTGGGGAAAGGGGAGGGAGGTTATTCTTCCTCTTGCTTGACTCTTTGTGATTGGGGCATTACCTTGCTTCATGGTTACTCACCAGCATATTTGACCTGGAATTATCAAGTGTATTCAAGGATTTTGCCACTGCTCCTTGACATTTTCAGGTATGCTACCCACAATGAAGTCTATCTGCCCACAAACAGATGGACTTTACTGAATGAGCTAGAAAACACTTGGACATCTTTGATATAGACTGAGAATTTCACAGTGGTTGTGAAATTCTAGCCTGTTTGGACAGTGCTTAGAAGGAGTTTTTTCAGACTTTTCATGTGGTGTGAATTTTGGGACAGAAGACTAATAGAGGCTCCAAACTAGAGAAATATAAAGCAAAATGATCACTATTCCAACTTTTATGATATTTACTGTATCTCTTCCTTGCATTTTCAGGTTATACATAAAATACATGTTTCTTTGATGATGTACAATTGGATTTACCCACTGTATATCATGTAAAGGAAATCAGTGTAAACTGATAAATAGTGTGGCATATAAGAAAAAAAAAGAGTAATCTTTATAATGGACCAAATATTTTAGAAAAATCAAAATAATTGCAAAACAATGAAAACAATATTCAATCATTTGAAAATATACATGTATGTATTTGTATTTGTGTGTGTATATACATACAGTATATACATACAGATGCTAACATTGGTCTCATCAGCCATCTACGGACACGCCGCTGATGGCCCATAATCCATAAGATGTCAAGGTCTTCATCGAAATCGATGGGCAAACAACAACAGATGCAGACACATATAAATACATACAGAATTAAAATACTAATAAAATTATGTTTAAAAATCAGCTATTGTTTAAAAAAATGGCACAACAAACAGACTGGATTACTATCTCTGGAAACTATTTTCCAAAACTTAATATTTGATGGGCAGTTTTGCCAAGCTTCAGAACCTGTTTGAACATCTGCTTAAGTATCAAAGACCAAATGTATTGATACAGTGCATTATAGCTCACAGCTTTTAAAAACTAAGACATTCACAATGAGTTACTTTCACAACATTGTACCATAATTTATTGAGAAGGAAACTACAAATTATGTGAAATTTTTAGCTTATACAGAACATCAAAATAATAGCCTTGTATCTTGATGTGAAACTAATACTATATTATAGCATGAAATAACATGCATGGAAAGAGAGAGGAAATTTTATGGGTGTATACGTATATGCACACAACACACATATACTGTAAGGATGCACAAACACCCTGATATGTATGTGTGTGTGTGTGTGTGTGTGTGGGTGGGTGGGTGGGTGGGTGGGTGGGTGTTACTGTTATTTATCTGATAGCTTTATATTACCTTACACTGATCAATGACTGTAATGAAGATTCTGATTTTATTTTATTATTTATAAAAGTAAACGGTACATTATATTTTCATATCAAGACTTGCTTTAACCTAATGAAGATGATGGAGAAATCCAACTTTCCTTGTATTAAAAGTCCTGGACTAAGATCAAGCTTCTTCTCAGCAACTTCTAATAAGATTTTCCAACTTCAGCAGTGTTTTGTTCTGTTTTTTCTTCTAGTCAGTCCCTTCCTGATTTTGCTTTCTCCTACTAAGTCCACAATTGCTGAATCTTCCTTTCTCCAGGAAAGGAAATATTCCTTTCTCCACTCTCCAATTTTATCTACTTTCCTCCAATGGCTCCACAATCATTGTTCCTTGATACAAAATGAATTAATGCATGTAACACAACACATACAATCATCTTCATTGGGAAAAAAAGACATCTGACCCTTATATATTTCCACCAGGCCTGCTTATAAGTTCTTAATTATACACGATTTTTTTCGGAAACTATGTGAAACTTTATATTAAGTGGGTTAAACTTTACATTAAATGGATTAATAAACAATAATTATTTATTAATGATAATACTTTGTGAGCAAGGTATTATAGCAACTCTTAGCAATTTTTATTTTTGAATTCTATTATGGACATAAATGCATGGACACATAGACATTCTTCACTACATTGTCTAGTCAACATTGATCTTTATGCACTGTCTCCTTATCAATATGTAATTTATATTACTTATTTGTAGGTTTAGAACCTAAATAGTAAACTGTATCAGGTTACTGAAGTTATTAAGTCTTATTTTGTCTAATGTCTATTTCAGTTATATTCATTTATTAACCTTTATAGACCTATATGAATAAATGCATTTATGAATGCACGTTGTAATAGTTTCTAGCCAAGCAATAAGAGGGAAAAAAAACCTACCAATTATACATGCCATGTATACACATAATTGTAAAGAAAATTAGATTCAAAATATTCCTTAAAGTTTACCAAGAGCAAAGAGTGTCCTCTCTTTCTTACATATGCATACATAAAATATTGCATGTCACCATGTACTTACTCTATGTTCAGTATAGCAACATTTCAAGCAAGGAGATTCAACATATTAACAGTAATGGACAGCAATACTTCATACTCTCTTTAGTTATTATTAACTCTGTATGGAAAGGGGAGGAAAAGTATGTTCCATCACATACGTTGTAGTCTACTGATACAAAAAATAAAAGACAGATGACAATGGCCTGAATGTTAATGCAGTTGAAATTGAAAATTTGTTTCGCTTTTTGAAACTACATTTTCTAAAATGGGATAGCAATAGCAATAGCACTTAAGCTTATATATTGCTTCACAGAGCTTTACAGCCCTCTCTAAATTGTTTACAGAGTCAGCATATTGCCCCTAACAACCTGGGTGCTCATTTTACCGACCTCAGAAGGATGGAAGGCTGAGTCACTCTTGAGCCACTCAGAATCGAACTCCTGGAGTGAGTGAGCAATGAGTTAACCTGCAATACTGCATTCTGACCACTGTGCCACCATAAATCTCCCTTTATTCCTGTCACATCTTGGATTTATTTAAGCATGTAAAATGGATGAGTCTGCTTCCTTTAATATATAATTGCAATTTAATGTAGACTTTTTTATGTTGTACTTCACAATAATATTAATAAGTAATATAAATAAAGAGAAAACAAAACAAAAACCTTCACCTTCCTCAGAATATATATGGTGAGTATGCATGTTACCAAATTATCTGCACATTTTTTGCCACTCACATGAAGACTTGAAAATAATTCATTAAAACAGATCTTGCTGGAAGAATTTTCTGGCAAATAATTTTCTGAGAGCTTGCTTAACATCAGAGTTTCGCAGAGAGTATATAAGAGGATTGAGGACTGGAGTGACCACAGAATAAATAATAGCAATCACCTTGTCTTCCTCTAAAGAGTACATTGAAGCAGGACGGAGGAATGTATAGATAATGGTGGAATAGTAAAAGCTGACAACCAAGAGATGAGAAGAGCATGTGGAGAAGGCCTTCTTCTTTCCTTCTGTGGAACGGATTCTGAAGATGCTCCTCAGTATAAACCAATAAGATAAGAAGGTCAGGGTACAGCTGCCTAGGGCAATGACAACAGAAGCTGCAAAAACCATGATTTCATTCAGGCTTGTGTCTGAACAAGAGATCTTGAACATTGGTGGTAGATAACAGAAGAAATGATTGATGATGTTTGAATCACAGAAGGAAAGCTGTAGTACAAGTCCTGTCTGAACTGAGGCATTTATTATACCTATCAGCCAAAGTCCAACCATTGTCCCAAAGCAAACCTCTTTCCTCATAATTACTGTATATTGCAGAGGTTGGCAGATAGCAACATAGCGATCAAAAGCCATAAATGCAAGAAGCAGGAGCTCTGTTCCTAAAGTCAAAGTGAAGAGAAATACCTGTGCAATACAGCCAGGAAACACAATAGTCTTTCTCTGGGTTATAAGAATTTGCAATAATTTGGGAACTATTATAGAAATTGAACATACATTTATAATAGACAAATTGATTAACAAAAAGTACATGGGTGTGTGAAGTTTCTTGCAGACACTGATGGCTAGGATGATTAGGAAGTTTCCTACCATAGCCAATCCATAAATGATGAAGAACGTCCAAAAGATGAGCATTTCATTTTCAAGGGAACTCGAAAAACCTATCAAGATGAATTTTGTAACAGTGGAAGAGTTCTTCATGTTCAAGTCTGTGATGCAAGGGAATAAAACAGCACATCATTTTTTGCAGAGATTCTCTTTCTTGGCATGCAGACTGTTTTTCATTCTATTAATAAACATTTCTATCATATATATTCAAAATACATGATGATAATGAAAGAAATCCATACAGAGACAAAACCTTTT